TATTATATTATTATATTATATCAAAAATTTTATATTTATATACGAATTGCCAATAACAAGATACTTCTGACTTTCATATTTATAATGAAATCAAATACACAAGTTGAACTTTACAAAAATTTTGAAAAGTTAAAGATGAAACACAAGCGAGAATTACGGTCACTCTAGCCTAGTGTCAAGCTATCAGCAGAGATTAAAATTGAGATTGCATTCATTATGATAAAATTTGAGATTCACACATTACGTTTACTATACGAAATTCTAAGAGAGAAAAGTTTGATACCACTCGGGAACAGAATCCTTTCAAACATTAATCTAACTTTGACTGAATGTTGCGCTAGGGTCGTTCACAGGTCTGTAAACGCTACCAATACATTACCTCGAAAGGAATAGTTGATAGCGCGTAGTTGTGTCGTAACACGCTACCATTAGTGATGATACGTCATGATCGTATTTGTTAGCACTATCTGCAGCTCCGCGAACAGTTTGTAGCGCTAAATAACGTGAATAGCGTCTCCCTGAATACCCATAGTCGATTCACTGTCAACGAGACAAAAGTAAGTGTTCAAGGTTACTTTTTGTATGACAGCTTTAATTTCAGTAACCGAGACAAAAAAAATTGTTTTACGTAGTTCAGTACTAATAGAATAAATACACCATAAAACAAAATTACTTGACTTTATTTTATATTAAAAAAAAATTCCCAGAGAATCTCCGATTTTTCAGGCCTTTACCCTGTCTATATCCCTTAACCTAAAAATCACATCTTTTGGTAGATTAAAAAGTGTATTAAAAATATCAACACACATAAAAATTATACTTTTATAAATAAATTTTATAATATTTTGGGATTTATTTAATATTTCCGGATTTTTTATTTAGGCCTAATTTTATAACTCACGGTTAACTCTTAACCGAAGTTCAACTTATTTTTCATCTCTTTCCAATTCTAGCATTAGGAAGAGATGAGGAATAAATTGAATCTCAGTTAAGAGTTAATCATGAGTTGTGAAACTGGTTATATTTTTGAGAACATATACTATGTATATATAATTTTTGCATACGAAAACGAGTTTCTCGATTGATTGATCGATTGTATACGGAATTACTATTTCTGTATGCAATATTTGTTCAAGAATAGGATCCCTGGCTTTAATTTTCAATCAGTTCAGTTTTTCCAGAATTTCTATTGGTAGATATGATTCAATATGCTACGAGCAGCTATTTATGCAGAGATCCATTCGGTAAATGTAGGTCACCATGTGTGACCAGCAGAAAAGAAAGCAATGGATGTGTTATCCATTGCATAAACGAATGCACTCATCGTCTTATAATATTTTGGATTTTCCAATTTCCTGATAGGTTGACTGCACATATCAGAAATAAAACTTCTTGTATTCTTGCATCACAAATCTTAAAAGACTTAGATAAAGTGAAGAATAAAAACTTCATTAATGTATCCTTGAAATAGTTAATGTAGTTGATAATGGGCACGTTTAATGGACTCAACACTGAGTGAGGATACGATTATATGTAGCGCGGTACGTAACATGAGGTACAAAAACTAATTAGATAATTACAGAAAATCGTGAACGGTACGGTTTAGTGATACATAAACTTTAATATGAATTTTTTAAATTATATTAACTTATTTCTATACACATTTCATCAGTACTCTTACTTTTTCTACGGATTTACTTAATAATTGCAATTAATTCTATTAAAAAGTGCTTAGTAACGTGAATTTGTCGCTGGCCCGTGTTACATGTAAGGGGTTCACATCTTGACGGAAAAGCGGAAAGCGGAAAAGCAAAATCAGCCAATCAGAACTTTAGTTGATAGTCTATAATTTCGGCTTTTTGTATTACCAATTTACTACCAATGCGAGTTCTGATTGGCCACTGCTTTTCCGCTTCCTGCTTTTCAAGATGAACGCGCCCTAACGATGATGTCCCATGCAGCGGATCATGCGTATCGTCAATTACAGAATCATTCTCTTAGATCTGTTTGCAAATTTCGCAAGCAGATCTAAGAGAATGATTCTGTGATTGACGCACGTTCCGTTGCATGAGACATCACCCTAATAAAGTAGAAAAAAAGCAAGCGGCTGTAATTCTTATTTAAATCTAGCAAAAAAATAAAGATAAGAACCAATGACATTAAAGAATCATATAAAAGAATCACTCAACGATCATTGATCTCTTGTATATTGAAAATGCCTTTACCATCTAACAATTAAAGCGATCAAGAACAATCAGAAGTAAAGATAAACAATAACAAAAACAAAATATTGTTAGGAAAAGTTAGAAATTTTTATTTTGCATATACGTACTTATCAATATTTTACAAAGCTCGCAAACTGATGAACAAAAATGGCGAGAAGTTAGCGTGATCGCTAATGGTAAACATCAATATGCTATATCACAAAAATGATTTT